ATTAATCTTTCCCTCCCATCGTGCCAGCGATGCCTTCAAGTTGGAGGAGCCTGAGAATATCGACGCCAACTTTAGGAAATGGGAAATGCGGATGAACTACGGAGGGAATTCTATCCTTGCCCATTCATATGTGAAGCAAGGACTATGTGTAATGGCTTACAGTAGGCGCCCTACTACAAACGTTCATTAATAACAACGCCGACAGCGGCACTTAGAAGTGAGATTTCTAGCCAAATGGTAACAAGAAAGATCGCACCTAGAAATTATCATCGACTCTGAACCGATACCCACACCATTCTTGCATTAGTATAGTCAGTGGCAGTCTTGTGCGCTTCACTGATTCATAAGCTCCTTCACTCGCAACATTCGTTGCCTGGTTTGTTCTAACAAGCTCAAATTTATTACGAGAAGACACGAGCAGATACCTGAATCGCCACACAAGCATTATTTGCGGTGTTTCTGAGCAACGGCAACTTGAACGCTTTCACAGCGCCACTCAGCCAAGAGTTTCAGGGAATTCCCGGGCGTTGGGCGCTTAAGCCCTTATAGCTTGGGACCTCGATCTCCCGACTACTCAGGAGTGCAGAGGCTGGTACAGAAGTACTTTGAACAGGAATGGGTAAGATTCATGCTTCAAGAAGTATCCGACAAGTTACCCCCGGCCACACGGAGCAAGGCCAATTCGGAGTGAGGCGCATGGTTTTTCGATAAGGCTGACAGCGGTATATGCATTTGAAGTACACAGCTCAGTGAACAAAATAGAGCCAGGTAAAAGGAAGTCAAATGAAATTCTGAAGAACGCTCCTGGAATTTATATCGAGATTACTTATTGAATCATTTTCTAGTGGAGTAAAGGGAATTTTTTCCTGAACGCCCGCTTGAAATCACCCACTCCCATCCATCATACCAAGGCTATTGCCGGAGGTAACTTGAATATCGTCTCTGAGAATCGAAATTCGTGAAGAAATTTCCCGGATGACGTTGACTATCTTGCTCTCTGCGTCTTTCCACGATGGGGAAATTCGGACATAGCCCATACGCTCGTGAACCACCTCCGCAGAGATGGGACTCCGACTGGGATCCGAGCCATGTTCGGAAAGACTATTGGCATGCGAGAACACGGATGTGCCGCTCAGAGTCGCTGTGTCCTGACAATGTTCCCTGAGATGTAATCCAGGATCCCGATAGTAGACGCGAATGTGCATGCCATCCTCAATCCACACAACAGCTGCGATGCTTGAGTTCTTCGCGGCTCTCTCGATCGTTGCGCCATGAGCCCAAGGTGCGGCAGGGCTTGCCTTACGCAACTCACGGACAACGTCTGAATTTTGATCTAGGTGGGCATTGGGATGGACTGGATAATGTTGAAGAGGAATAAGATATCGATTTACCTTGGTAGTAGAGCCGGATTTCATCATGCCATTGAATAGCCGCAATACTAGAATTCGAATCGAGGACAATCTGCAGCTTTTCAAGATCGCCAGGTTGCTATTTAGTCGTCGTTTCCCTCTCCGAGTATACGAAGTCTTGGAGAACATTATGGGGACCGAGGTGGTATAGTCGGATCTACATAGGTATCTTCAGAATATATTCTTAGTTAGGAATTCGAGATAACACTTGCCTCTTTCCCATCGTCCCAGCTCAGAGTCGCCAAGGGGCGATTCTGTTTGGAGGTTACAATGCCAACGTTCACGCTAGAGGTGATGAGAGACACGGAATGACGAAACAAATGAACACAGCCTACCTTGATTTCCACTGTCGTTCGATAATTTCCTTTTCATACGCGGGAAGATCGCTCAGGTTGAAGACCGAGATAAATATGTCTCTAGACAAGAGAAAATTTATCGGATTCTCGTCTGCGACTGTAGACTTGTAGCTTGCTTTCTTGGGAGTGCCGTCTTTGAAACGTTTTGCAAAATAGTAGACGGTGGTGAGACCGAAAATGACTTGAAATTTCTCCCCGAGATCGTACACCAGGATGCGGTCGGATCGAGATATTTCTCCACGGTACTCGGCAATTTTCACCGTTTCTTCTGGTCCCCAGCCATGGTGCAGGTTGCGAGAGGCCCGAGAGTTGAATGCGAGTACTCCTTCCTGCCGTCGGATGGATATTAGGAGGATTAGTTCGTCCACGGAGTTGTACAGGCCGATGTCGGTATGATCAACATCTATGGCTAGTGGATTCGTTCGTTTTGTGAAAAGCGATTTTTTCATCTTGGATGGAGGAGGGTCTAAGTTCATAATTCGGTCGGATTTGAAGCAGACAATCTTTCCAGTATCGTAATCGGGGATTTCGCATGTTCGATGGAGTTCCAGCCTGCGGGGTCGCTCCGCTTCTCTGAGAGCTTTCCATCGCCTTTCGCTTTCTGATAATGGTCCCAGGTGAGCCATCGCTTGGAGAATTATGACTGGCCGGGAGGCACATAAACGTGGGCGCTGGGAACGCGCACCAAGCGAGAAGTAACTTGGGAGTAACCAATTCGCAGGCGAGGCCCTTGAGATAAGAATGGTCGACCGCAAAAGACCTAATGAGGGATCCCAATTAAAACGCGATAAGGCCGACCGCACTCGGCACAGTGCACTACCTTTTACGTGGTAAGAAAAACATCGTTGAACTGTACAGGCACCAGTTCCATGGATGTATTTTTCAAGTATATTTGACACCTTCAACGAAAGGGCGGAAAAACGCGTAGCACAATGTGGAACGCAAATTTAAAGTCCTTGAATTAAGCAAAACGGAGTTGGAGATGATCTATTTTGTGGGCTGGAATCACGCCCATCCTTTTTCAAACTGAGAAAATCCCGTTCTTCGCTTGTGTTTCGCGCAGAAAATAGAGCAGGCCATACATAAAAAATACATGAGAGAAATGGGGGAAACCATGCGGAAGAGCACTCCAATCAATGTGGTTGCATGGCGAAAAGGTGACCGGGTCAACGTCAGGCTCGAAAATAAAGCATGTGTACATGCGGAGGGGATTGGAGGGCGATAAAAATTTGATGAGGGTGGGATTCGAACCCACGCCCCGGAGGACCAGATATGTTGGGCAGTAACTGCCCTGGTCCTTAGTCTGGCGCCTTAGACCGCTCGGCCACCTCACCAGTGCAGACAATGCCTCGATTAAAAGGTTTGGGTGGGACTGGATATCCAGGCACCATTTCGCTTGCATTTCGCTGTCCCTCCACCGTACAACATTGCACTCTATTCCAAACAAAGGTTAAGGAAAAAAAATGCATTCGAGAAAAGGCGTAAGAGGATATCTTTGCCATATCACACTTTATTCGAAGAAGGTTATAAATTCATTCTTTATTCTTCAAGACTGGGGTAAAAGAGCGAATTTGCTTGAGGTTTGAACGTCCGAACATGCCGCTCGTCGACGCCGTTCCTTGGTCGAGAATAGAAACGCTGCTGTTCTAGATCCATGAGCCGTTCTATATGAACACTTTGTTGAAATTCGGATTCCAGAGTGGGTATCGTACGCTCATTGGTATACTGTACTATTTCGACCGGTTGTTCACGGCCTGTGATGCGTTATGCCAAAAGTTCACTGGCCGGAAGTTCACAACAGGTTGTGATGCGTGACCTGACCAGAAAATAGTTCATGGAGCTCGGCTCAAAAATTTTGGCCGTTTTGGAGAGGGCAATTTCCATTCTAATCGATGCGATAATGGTGACATGCAGGCTGCAGGGCTCAAATATATATATAGAGAGCAATAAAAACCATCAAATTCCCAATTTATAAGGCTAGTTAGTTCAGCGGAATGGTGCTGACCCTTTTCCAGGCGACCTACACCAGGAGGATGGGGCAAAACATAATTTCATTACCTTCGGATAAAGAGGCGGAGGAGGCTGTTTGGCGATGACGCAGACTGGGAATGATTGTGGATGGCTGTGATTGTAGAGAGAACTGTAGCGATGCATTGCACGCCTGTGCAGCGGAAAAAATTCGCATTTTAGAGCCGTTTTGAACTTGTTTTGATAGCTGTTCACTGGGACCTGTGATGCGTGACGAAATGCACTTTTGTTCAGTTCATAACCCTCTGTGACGCGTTATTTGAACAACCGGTCGAAATAGTACAGTAGTGGTGAAACGAATAACAGCTCAAACTTGAAGAAGATTCCTAGGAGAATGTACAGATGTCAGGCAATCGCATTAAAGGCTAAGGCCTATCACTTACTAGTACTGAGACGACCAGTCCGTTCGAAAGATAGATCGATCTTTAAGGGTGAAGCTTCTCGTAGAGTTTCTTGGAAAGGCTACGGTGTATCCCATTTAAGGCCAACACCATCTTCTTTATGACCTTTCTGATACTTGAGTCGTCTGGCACACTGTCCGACAACCCAACTACGTCCACTGTTTCCTCTGCGAGCTGCAGAAAGACGAACCACCAAACCCATCCAATCCCGTGTTCGTCATCGACGACGATGCAGACCCGAAAACTACTCTCCGTCGACCTGATGTCGTTAGACGTATCAATCGAGATGTCTCCATTGGCTCCTCCCTCGCTTCGAAGCAAGTCACCACCGCACATTGACACCATCCGCGAGGATCAAAGAGGATGATGCCTCCCGTGATATGGTACCGTTCTATGCGGCGAGTCCGTTTGCCGGCACAACAGCACGAGGAGACGATGGGAGGAACCACGTTGACGGACCTGGTGGTGACCAAAAGTACTCGAAGGCACCGGTAGGAAAGACGGGCCTTAGACAAGGAGGGAGGCAACCGTCAGCTCGCGATAAACTGAAATCCTAGCTCGAGATTTTCAAAAGGAAAATTTCCTACTCCATCGTGTGGGACATAGGAAGGGTGATACATCCCCAAATCACGAGCGCAAGAGCGGAAGGCCGTCGGCACATTCCTATCTGTAAGAGGTTTGATGCCACGGCGCGGAGCCGGATCCCGATAATTGTGTCCTGGATTTCTTTCCTTCACCAATAATCCGTCTTCAATCTCCTGGCATATCCAGTGATACTGCAAGGCCCAAAGGGATAGCAAAAGGTTTGATGAGGGTGGGATTCGAACCCACGCCCCGGAGGACCAGATATCCATGGACAGTAACTGCCCTGGTCCTTAGTCTGGCGCCTTAGACCGCTCGGCCACCTCACCGATGCAACGCCGTCTTCCGTTTCCTCGGACGCTGGCCGAGGCGCGTCGTCGGGGTGTAGGTTCGGGGGCACAGGCGTCGGCTGGGTCCAGATGTTGTATGACAAAGGTGGATGGCTGTTGAACACCTGCGGAGCCGCGGGCTCTGATTCGATGGTATGCGGTTCCATGTCGTTCGGGAGGTCGAGACGAAACAGCGGGTCTAAGTGACGTGTCGCAAGACAGGGAGACATAGGCGAACAAGGGACAGCCAGCAGAGGAACAAGAGAATGAGGAGGAAGTGACGGTGTCGAGGAAAAATCACATCATCGTTGCTGGATTTCAATTCCGCCTCCATGCAGAAAGGCTTCAGAAGACTGGAAAGGAATAGAAGATTGCGAAGGACCATATATCCCTTGATGGGTCCGTTGGCGGACAAACGGCCTACAGCCTACATAATACGTTACCACTATCGCGGAAGCACAGTTGAAACCTGAAAGGCATGACTTAAAAGAAGAGTGTTGATGTAAAAAAGGGCGGTGATATTGGAAGGAAGCAGAGGAATGAACAGTACCGACACTGTCGCGATGTCCAGCTTTCACGTATGTCTAGCCGAATGCCAGTGGTTGCCTAGCCCTCTCTCTGATTCAGGGGAACCTGAATCAGAGTCCAGCAGCTGAAGTTCGCGAGGGGGGTTCAGATTTTTGCTTGCACTTATCTTGTACTAGGCGGCATTGGTACGAAGATGGTGTGCAAGGCGGATTATGCCAGAGTCCTGTTGAAGTAGGCCCCCTATGTTTAAATTTCGAATAGAATCAAGAAACAAAACGCACTTGGGATGAAATATATGTTCGAAACACCTCTACAGTTCCGCCTCCTCCTCCGCTTCTTCGTGGCCTTTGGTCGAAAGTTTCGCAATAAAAAACAGACCACAGCTAAGTAGCCAGGTAGCTCGAACGGCAGTTGCTTCCCTTGGTTCCATGAGCGAACACGAGAACTGCTCCGGAAGTTCCCCATTATTTCTTCGTGCTATTGCTCCATGCCGTCGACGGTCTTGTCATTATTTGAGTTCTGAGTGCACTTGCGCGTGTACTCCTCAGATGTATATGGTGAACATCGCTGCTCTGGTGTAGTCGAATTCGTGAGGTTCATACGAGGCAAGGCAGGTCGCATCGTTACTCATAATCGAATACCACCCCATCCACTGTTGATGCGCAATCAGTGTAGCTCCAGCCGACTCCTACTCGTTGTCGATGGACTCTGTGAAGATCCAGAGAAATGCGAGGCAATATCGACGCGCGGTCCACCACCAGTAAGAATGCAACTGCCAGAAGTAACATATCGGGAAAAATCAATGGTGATGGTGTTGAACAAAAGAACGGTGAGAAAGCATTCCCATGTACAGAATCACAATCGATGAACACACGGTTCTCGTAGGTGAGATGGCCGAGCGGTCTAAGGCGCCAGACTAAGGACCAGGACAGTTACTGTCCAACATATCTGGTCCTCCGGGGCGTGGGTTCGAATCCCACTCTCATCACACTTTTTGCATCCCTCAAATCTTCGAAGTCTAGAAACAGTTTTTTTTTAAAAAAAAAAAATCATTGTTTATTCTCCTTTGTGTCGAACCATATGGTAGAGAATACATGTCGGATGAGAATCTGTCTACGAAAGGAGCTAGAAACTGTTTAACCTTTTAATCATGCGCTTCATACCACTATTACCAGGTAAAATTATTTTGCTACTGAACGCTGTATATATTGTTCTATCTCTTCTGTGGTTTAGGAGACAAGGACACGGTCATCAACATCCTCAGACGCTGATTTGCACTTGATTTGCACGTCCTCTTATTTGAAAAAGCAGAACTCGAGAATATATCTAGCTAGCTCGGATTATCGAAGGGGGCCACCTCATCATCCCACTTATCCAGCCCCAGCTCCGTTGGAGTCCACAACGAGTTTTTCGGGATCATCTTGGGTAATATGTTGCCATGATCGTGATGTAGCAGATGAACTCAGAGACAGCGCTTGAGATCTTCGCATGGGAAGTAATCATTGGGACTGGGGAGGTGAACCTTGAACGCATGATGGCGAAAATATAAGCTTGATAATTCGATCGAGTTCGAGCCTTTGTCAATGGCCCTAGTGCGGGATAAGTCGTGGGAGATTACAACTTGTCGGGAATCATCCTAAGAGATCAAATTTGAGCGAGAGTGTAGAGGAAAAAAGGACTGGAGGGGACGGAGGTATTCTCGCGAAATGTGGCAATGAGATCCCGCAGAATCAGCATTACCTCGGAAGGAGTGCTCATACCTGAATAATTTTCTTAGTACTGTGTATTCCTAAGCCACAAATTAATATACCGTGAGAATGGCACTAAGTAGTAACAACGAAGCGCGATGGTCTCGAAACCACACGCGTCTCGCCCGCATCTCGCCCACGCTCGAGGAAATATCCATGATATACCGAGTTGGTTTCAGGAGGAACCAGTTATCAACCAGAGCCCACCATCTCGTATGGTCTTGCTCGAGATGCGATACTAACGGATGCTAGATGTGTTAGCCGAGATTCGCGAATTGGAGACGAAAAGGCATACTCAAGGTAGAAATTCCTCCAGATGCGCCCGTCACCCCGTTTCCCGGGCCTCTGCCTTCAACTCGGCGAAGGTTAACTCTTCAGAAAAGCTCATGAACGGTGGTTTACCATCTGCTTATACCCAATGGTGCTACGACAGATCGATCAAGAATGGTACCTGTTGTAACAGCATAGGTGAATTGGGGAGCATACCAGTGACGCACCAAACACAGTCTTCAGAGACGTCGAATCCGCTGGAATGCTTGTGCCTGCGGGTACTTTCCCATACGCCGGCGCCAGGATTCAGATAGTTTTCTTTGTGGTGACGGGCTTCAGTTCGGCATCCAGGCCGTCCGAATCCAAAAAAAATTCGAACCCAGCGGCGCAATATAGCACTCTTCCTGGGGTTATACGCTGGTTAGTCTGCCGAAGACGATAGCGACCTTGAAATAAGATATAGATCACTCAGTACAAGGAAAGTACCAACTCACCCCCTAGAGGACGGCCTTGCACATAATGTGGCGAAAAGAAGGCGCCACAAAGAAGTCTGCGAAACCTTTTGTGAAGGAGGTGGACTGTGTTGTCGTCGCGATCCTAATGGGGAGACATCGCAAGGTCGTCGTTAGAGCGTCAGAGTCCTCTTGTTGGTGGATGATCGATGATTGATCCCAAACATCAACGGTTATTCATCAACTTCCACTGGCAGACACCTGTGTTGCCGTCGGTCACTGGTTTTCTGCGTTCGCAAGTACGGTGTTGCAAAGGCCATGTCCTTTTGTCACTTAGGAAGTTGAAAGAGGGAGGTGACAGTACGTTGCGCACCACATGGGCAGACCTTGCGTCCTCTCATCCTGGGTTCCCAAGCCGGCATAGTTCTCTGGTAAAGGGAAGGCCACCTGTTTTTAACAGAACCTACCGGCTGTTGAAGCAAGAGCGACACCAGTTTCCAGATGGAGAAGTGTGATAAAGATCAAGCAAAAGGACATTTACCTTGTCCCGGCAGAGAACGGAAACTTTCTTGCCTGATAAGGAATGTTCTATTACAGCCTCCAATCAACGGCGCCAGCTTTCCAACCTCTGCAAACTGGCTCGATGTGTCAATGTGAGCATTGATATTTCTGCTGAGCCATCGAAGGAACGAGGAACGGGAGACGCAGTTCCTTCGATGGCTCGATTTTTCACGGGCCGTTAAGCACATTCTGGATGACATTGGGCGAGTTTAGGCGCGGATGTACTGCCGATGGCCAGGGGGAAGGGTTTCGCGGGGTAGGGATAATTATAGAAGTGGTATTTATTATTGAAAGACAATTTATATAGACGAAACGGTATCCATACCGTGTTGTCCGAGTGCTTCCTTTGCAATTCCTGTGGAATCCGAATTGTGCGTAAAGAGAATCAGAAAAGGTTGAACGTTGAGTGTGGCAAAGTTTTGTGAGATCATAATTCCGCGCTGGGAAGTAGCAGGTGAGCGCTGATAATTCGGTCATCGTCAGTTAGTGGGGTGGGTGGGATGTCTGCACCAGAAATGTTCGATTTGCCTCTACGTACTTATTTCGATTGTGGAATATGAACCCACGCAGTTTTTTCCTCCACGCGGATAAATTATTCGCCCGACGAATGCTACCAACCCCATTTTTTGTTCTCTACTTCCTAGCGAATCCGGGCGTTCTATATTTTCTCGATTCGAGCTGAAGGTCCCCTAATGCGTGGGTAGGGCTACGCCCGTCTCTCTATTCGGGGAGTGGTGGTTATTAATACATATAACCACAGACGGGCACAATAATTGACTTGTTCGTACCGATGTGCATTGGAAGGCGAGGTGTTCATGTTCTGCGCAGATTTCCAGGAATAAAGCACGATTCCGGCATTGTCAACCCCCAACCTGGTTTTCAGCTACCGCAAATCCGAGGTAGAATGATAGAGAAAGGAGTCAAGGCCTTTGAAACCCTGTTTTTTCTATGTTCACGATCACCATACTGGGGCTACATCGTCGGCCACTGAATAAGGAGCCCTCTTGGCGATTTTTAACGTACATAGTACCTAAGAGGGGAAAAGCGCGAGAATTTTTATGGCTCGTTTCATGCGATTCGGGAGACATTACAACGGTCGACAAATGATCTCTCTGGAATATATTTGGGAGAAGGCCCTGCTCCAAATGGTAGTAACAATGATACCCAAAAGGAGGGCATGGGGTACCGCTGGGGATGTAAGTTCTTCCAGTCGATGAATCTTAGTGCCGTGCTTGGTGGAACAGTTACGAAGCGCCGGGCTGGGGGCAGATTTGGTGGAGATAAGGCACAAGAGAAAATGCATAAATACCTATCTCTCTGTAGTTTCTTTCACTCAGCTCCTCTTCCTACATTCGATCAGGTTAGCGACAGTTTTTTCCAAGCCTCCTATTCGTCGTATAACCCTTCAACTCATCCCTTTTTTTTCCTGGTCATTTAGAAG